TGTGCTAAGTTTTAAGAATTATTTTCTTCAGCTTTAGAGGACGCCTTAAAAAGTGACCTTCGCCCTTTCTGCCTTATTAGGTAGGATACACATTATTACTGCATCATTACCAATCAACACACATCTAAACCAGAGTGTGTGTGTGTGCGTGCGTGGGTGGGGAGGCTGTCATAGAAAAGCACCTGTAAAAGCATCTAAGGATTTCTAAATGTTAAGATAGGACTGTAGTACTTCATAAACGGGGAAATCACAAATAAAAGTCTTTTAAGTGGTAAGGGAGAAAGACCTGTAAAAGCATCTAAGGATTTCTAAATGTTAAGATAGGACTGTAGTACTTCAGAAACGGGGAAATCACAAATAAAAGTCTTTTAAGTGGTAAGGGAGAAAGGAATTCCAGTGGAAAAGAGAAGGCGTGCTGGCGGCACATGCCTGTTATGACCGGCACTTGCAAGACGGAGACAGGAGGTGAGAGTTGAGTCATTCTTGATTATATACCGAGTTCGAGGCCAGCTTGGGCTACTTAAGACCCAGTCAGAAGCAGTAACAAAAACTAGCAACAGAACAAAAATCAGGCAGACCTAAGGAAAAGACAGATTCCTTTTCCTGTGATTTCTTGAGACGGTTGTGTAACAACTCAATTTCCAGTTCTTTTAGAGAAATCATTTGGTTAGAATGTGGTTGTACCTTACCTGTTCTTTCTTCTAACTTGGCATACTTGGGCGTATTACACATGTTACACTCTGATCTTCTGGCCCAATTCACATTACTGCAACTAGGATCATGAAAAACATCAAATCAGAAGACAAAATAAATGCTCATTAAGGGGCAAGATAAAATTTTAAAATGTACGTTGTTCTAGAGAGCGAGATTCTAACAACAAACCAAACTATTTAGGCAGAGAACAGAATCTATTCAATACAAGTAAGATTTGGCTACCTTGGTGGAAAATAGTGTTTAAAAATTTAAGGTTTCTCTAATTTATCAATGACTCTACTCAAAGAGTAAGGCTACACCTTTCAAATACAGCCAGTGTTTTTATTTCCTCTAAGGAGGCTTTGCAGCACACGGAATCTTGTGACTTAAATTTGCTGCAGGAACAATTTGCCATACAAAAGGACCAGCATTTTACGTACAACTCTGCTCTGGTTCAGTGCGCTTTCATGTATGTCGGATTTATCTAAACAGAACAAAATGTGGAGGAGAGGTAGGGAACTTTAATAGAAAACGAAAGCTAAACTTGAAAGGTAAAATATTAAGAAAACTACCTAATACGGAATAATTTTTTATGGAAGACAAGCTTTTACTTTGCAAATGGGTAAAATGAATTTGCATACTTCATTTTATCAAAGTGGCAAAAAACTGAAATTATTCAATAACAGGAAGTAGCCCACAGTGCCTTCAGTGTCTCTCAGCCCTTTTAGTTAGCTCACCAGTAACAATTCATTTACTGATACTTGGTCTGAAGATAACACACTTTGGGCTTCAAAGGGAACACTGTCTTATCAATGTGATTAGCAGAGTTCACAACATTAAGGGGCAGTGATCAGAAACACCATCAGACAATAACGGTTGCTGCGACACGTACGTCTTGCACTGCCAGTCGTTAGCGCTGAACAGGCCTCGGCTCTTCTCCGCCAGCGTCTTTCCGATCTCAGTGCCCCCGGCTTTCATCATCTTGGCCTCAGTTGTTTTCTCTGAAAACAGACAATGCAACATAAATCCAGGGCAGATTCAGATGATCTGCATATAAAGCAGCCAAAGAATCCTTAAGTACTTACCCCGCCCACATCTATTACAGCTGGTTCTTCTAGCAAAGTTTACATTTCCACATCTGTAGATAAACAGAAGCACTTAATTTTTAAATGCTACAATGTTTTAAATTGTCACTACTACATATCTGGAACACAGAACTTCGGGCTCCTGTTCATGTTAACATTAAGAAACAAGTGCAGGAGAGATCTCTACCCACATACAATCACAGTAAGTCATTTACGAGCTGTGCCTTATTTTCTTTAGACTAGCATGTATCATTAATTATAATGAAATCCTCTTATTCCAAAGTGTGATTTGATTCTTCTTAAACATCAAAGGATCTTTTTCTTTTTCTTTTGGTCTTTTTGGGACAGGGTGTTCCTGTAGCCAGCCATAGCTGGTCAAGAACTCACTAGGGAAACCAGGCTGGCCTTGATCTCACAGAGATCCACCAGCCTCTGCCTCCCAAGCATGGGGATTAAAGGTATGTGTCACCATACCCAGTTCAGAATCTGTTCCTTTTTTTGGAAACAGACTGTAGCCCTGGCTGGCCTGGAGCTCACTATGTAGACCAGGCTGGTCTGGAATTAACAGAGATCTGCTGCCTCTGCCTTTTGAATGCTGCGATTAAAGGGCTGCACCACCATGCCTAGCCCCCAAAGAGGAATTTTTGAGTATTACAGTATTTATCAAACCTAAAGCATAGCAAAAAATGCTACAAGCAATAAATGGAGTAAAATAGTACAACTTCATGTAGATGCTCTAAATAGTAAATGTTTATTAAAACACAAAGCCTGCCTAACTTCCAATGACACACTAGACTGAGATAAGCATGAAACTCCAGGGCAACACTCAGCTGAACCACTTATCATTCTGAGGTTGATTTTATACACACAGAGACAATACCCAAGAACACTGCAAATACCCTGAAAATGGAAACTTGATTTATAGCTGCTTGTTGTTAGACAATTTAAAGGCACGGGAGTATGGATTACATTCCTGCCTGTTGTGGTGGTGCACACTGGCAGCACTGATATGCTGAAGAGGCAGGAGGATCACCAGTTCCAGGCCAGCCTGGGCTACACATTTAAAAGCTGGATGTGGTGCCATAGGCCTTTAATCCCAGCACTTGGGAAGCAGAAAGCAGGTGGATCTTTGAGTTCCAGGTCAGCTGGGGCTACAGGGAGACCCTGTCTCAAAAAAGACAAATTTAAAAAATAAAAAGTTAAAAAAAAAAATCTTAAGTCCTGCCTCTGCTAGGCCTGATGGCTCACGCCTTTGATCCCAGCACTGGGGAGGCAGAGGCAGGTGGATCTCTGTGAATTCTAGGCCAGCCTAGTCTACACAGCAAGTTCTAGGCCAGCCAGGGTTACACAGTGAGACTATGTCTGAAAAAAACAAAAGAAGCCCCACCTCAAATATCCGGGGGCGTCCTCCTTAAGGAGAGGTCACCTTACCCTACAAAATCGGAGTGGGAAGCAGGAAATCCTTGATTGTTTACACCATTTACAGCAGTGGTGGTGCTGTACCCAACGTCACAGCCTTGGGATGCTCCGTCTTAATACTGAGCAGTCCGAGGAACTGGCAATGGATGCTGTCCCGGCAGGGCCTTCACCGTGTGTTCACGGTGAGGCAGCGATTCCAACCCCTTACAGATACCTGCGTCGCCTGCGGTGTGGACAGGAGTCCAGTGCCCAGGCTTTACTCCGGTAGAGGACACGCACCGTGTTCACTGTGTGGTGCCCAGGACGACCCGGGCGGACACTGGCACCCGCGCCGGGCACCTGGGGCTGCGTGGGCGGCGGCCAGGGCCTCGGGGCCACACGATTCCGGTGGAGCAACCAAGGTCAAGGGTCAGGAGGGGCTAGCACGCAGCGCACAGCCCACGGGGCCCTGCCCACCGAGCCACTCCTGGGCCTGCCCACGGACCGCTAGAGGCCGGGGAGGACCGCTCCCGCGCAGGCCCAGGATCCCACTCAGACCCCGATCTCCACGCAGGCCCGATCTCCCCACACAGGCCCAGGATCCCCGCTCCCTCCCCCTGGCTCCCCCGCGGGCTCGGCTCCCCACGCAGGCCCGTTCCTCCCCGCTCCGCTCACTTCTTGTCGGGGCAGATCCAGTCCCCGTCGCTGACGCGGAAATTCTTGGTGGACATCTTGGACGCCAGCAGCTCCACCGCCCGCACGACGTCTGGCCGGGGGCCTCGCCCGGGCTGCCCGCGGTCGGCCCACCCCGCCGCCCACGCCCGCCCACGCCGCCCTCCCACGAG